GTCACGAAGAGTCGGACACGACTTAACGACTGAACAACAACAACGAAGTAGAAATAAATTATAAGAGACTCTCATGACATTTTCATTGACAAGCTGTTAGTGTGGAATGGTTTTACATCAAATTGTAAAGCATTAACAAGTGGGATTGCACAAGCATCAGTCTCGGGGCTAGCATTATTCAATATTTTTATTAATGACCTGAATGATGAGTTTGATGGGCTGTTTATTAAATTTGTGGATGATACAAAATTGGGAGGTCTGGCCAATACACAGGATGATAGAACGCAGTCTCATCTGGATAAGTTGGAAGATTGGCTGAGAGGAACAAGATGTTCTTTAGCAGAAATGTAATTTCAGGAAGTTCACAGCTTGGAAACAACATCTGAGAAAGATTTGGCTGTGGTCATTGACAACAAGTTTAACATGAGTCCTCAGCTAGAAGAGCCAATACAGTTTTGGGCTGCATCACAAGCATTGCATCAAAGACACATAAAATCATTATCCCTCTCTACATGGCACTGGTGAGACCACACTTGGAGTCTTGTGTACAAATATGGGAACCACATTTCCAGAAGATTAGAGAGGGTTCAGGGGTGTCCACAAAGATGATTCAGAACTTGAGGACATGCTCTAGGAAGATAGGTCGAAAGAACTTGGTATGTTTAGTTTGATGAAAAGACAGCCACCTCTCATGGATGGTTTTAACTGTTTTTCCTGCACATTGCAGAGGGTTGGACCAGATGATCCTTGTGGATCCTTCCAACTCTATGATTCTGTTATTTTTCTGTAATTATAAAAACTGTGGAAAACACAGGTATTTTTAGAACAGTTGCAAAAAGTTGAGCTAAAATGAAGGAACAATTTTTATTACTTCTAAGATAGAATCATAGAAACCTAAAACTGGAAGGGACCATTTCAGCTGTCAATGCCACCCCTTGATCAGTGCAGGTATCCAAATTAAAGCATCTCTGATAGATGGGTAGTCAGTGATTTTCCACCAGGATCCATATTTGGCAGCCAATGAAGTGCGATTTAGTTTATGAAAACTTGAATGCAATCCTATGCCTACTTAATAAGCCCCATTAAATCCAGTGGGACTTCTGCATATCCACATGATCCTACACATTTCACTACAAAGTTATTGGGCACCATATACTTTTATTAGATAGGAAGCTGCCAGGCATCACATAGCTGAACTCAGCTGATCTCAAAATGCCAGAGTCAAACCTGGTTGGATGAGAGACCACCAGGTAATGCTAAAACCATAGGCTAGACTGGGAATTAAAAAAAAATTGCTTGCATTTTAGAAGGCGGCGATAGCAAAACCCCTTTTGCATTTTTGCTAAGAAAAATAGAGCCAAGGTGGAGTAATGCTTAAGACACCGGTTTTAGGAGCAGGAAGACCCAGGTTCTAGTATCGTACATCCTCAGCTATGGCAGATCACTGGGTGACTTTGAGCCAGTCAGCTCACTCTTTCGGCCTAACCTACCTCCCAGAATTGTTGTCGGGGGCAAAAAGATAAGGAGTGCTATGGCTGCTGCTTTGAGCTCTTAAATGAAAGACAGGACGTACATCTAGCAAACAAACCACGTCCCTGGAGTCACTAGGATCCGAGCTGGACTTGGAGATTTTATCTTAAGTCCCTTAGAACACAATGCAGGACTGCCTATTCCCAAACAAAGCCCGCTCCTTGCTGTTTCAGCTGCAGCCCACTCATCCAAATATTCCCGCTAGAATTCTCAACGGGCGTGACTTTGCTATCCGGTTTGCAACGCTGCATTTCGCTTATTTTTTACGCGCTTCTCCGAGGCACCGAATCATCCCGTGAGGATGGCTACAAGCGCCGCAGTCAAACCCACGTGCCTTTTTTCCTGCCCCCCTCTACTGCGCGTCGTGAGAAAACAAAAAAAAGCCACTCAGGGCTCCCGGGTGCTCCCCGGGTGCCTGCCGCCCTCGAACGGGGAATTTCCCGGGGAAAGCGAAGTCCCCAGGACGAATCGCGCGAGGAGGGCGAGGCTTTCACCAAGCGGCCGGATGGGCAGCCATCTCGCGAGACGTGGCTGGGGGGAGGGTGGCTTCGCCGCATAAATCGCCCGGGGAGGGACCCGGGCCGTGACAGTCCGTCGACGGTTTCGCGCTTGGGTTGTGAGCGCGGTTGCTCGTGCGGGATCCGCTACCTCCGGTTTTTCCCGGGTGAGTAGCCAGTCCTGACTTAGGTGCTTTCTGGGGCAGGGCGTCTGTTTTAAAGAGTAGTTGCCTCGTGTGGAGGATGGACCTTCTCTTTTTAGCCTCGGAGGAGCTGAACCAGAGAGACATTCCTGATGAAGAGGTTGTTCCTTCGGTGCAAAGAGGTGTGGCGCTGGTAACGTGCTTGCTCGCCCATCGCTTGGGGCCAATGAGGTTACTCTTCCCCGTAGGCTCTCTTGGGTGCCCTGCAAGAGAAGGGGGCTGTGCCTTTAGAATTGGTAGAATTGAAGCGCCTTTGCCTCTCCTGGACTCGGGTTTAAAGCACTCGGGCAACGGTGCAAAGGCTCAGTAAATGCTTGAGTGGGTTTACAGAGGCGTGTTTCCCACAGATGCAGTTGTATGATTGCAGGCTTCTTTTTGAACCCCCCTCTTTTTTATATATATATTGATCCACCAGCGGAAATGTGTGGCGCAAAAGGCGTTTGCCCTCGAGAGACAATTTGGAAGCGGCAGAAATGCTTCCAGGAGGAACCAATCCCTTCCCTTCCCTTCCCTTCTAGGTGCTTGAATTTGGCGTCTCTGGAAAAAATGTTCAACATTTCTTTAAAGGGTTAGGATTATGATGTAATTCCAGTCAGTGGACGTTGGCCAATAGCTCAGCTATTAGGAATACTTAGGGTTATACTGGAGCCTTAAAAGCAAAAAAAAAAAAAAAAGCCACCAAATCAAACCTTTTTCAGAATTGAAACAAATATCCTAGCATCGAACAGAAACTGAAAGTTTAAGTATATGCAGTTAATGCTGAGAAGTATTTTAGTCCTACTTATAAGTTGAACTTGTTTTCTCCGTTGCTTGAAAGCTCTGCGTGTTTCAATTTCCTACATTTCTTCTGTTCCTGTATTTTTTTTTATTCAGTGAACCCCCTAGGCAACATCTAATCTGAACCTTTAAATAACTCTGATATTGAAGATGGCTGAGAAACAATATACATTGGTTCACTGGAATAGACCGTTTGTTCTGTAGCCACTTAATTGTATGCATTGTGCCTTTGAGTCATTACTGACTCTTGGCAACTGCCTGGACGAAGCCCTGAAATTTTCTTGGCAACATTTTCCGAAGGGGTTTGCCATTGCCTCCTTCCTAGGGCTGAGAGAGAGTGACTGGCGCAAGGTCACCCAGCTGGCTTTGTGTTTAAAGCAGGACTAGAACTCACAGTCTCCGGGTTTCTAGCCTGGTGCCTTGACCGCTACACCAAACTGGCTCTTTTAGCCACTTATTTACATTCCATGAAATACTAATAGCTAAAATACAAAAAAAAATTAGGGGATATTGAATGGAATGTGTTTAAGTTTCTTATAAGACAAGACAAGGCATTCTCTGTGTGTATATTTTGTAGAATAAAGAATGCTGTTTTTTATATCACTTTGCCTCAAAAAATATTCTGGTGAACCTGAAAGTCTGCACAGTCCTTTAGGCTAATTTGGCTGATCCTAATAAAGGGTTATCCAGTGATGGTTCTTTATCCTTTGTCTGATCACATATGTAAATCCCATATCGTATAGTTTTGAACTCCCTTTTTTTGCTAATTGGACAATCCTGTGTGGCCTTCAGATAAAAGTTTTTTTTTTTTTTAAATACTGGTTAGAAAGTAAGCCTTACTATTTATGCAACATAAGCCTGCCGTTGGGTGAAATGTTGTATGTGTAATAGCCAAGTAAATTGGAACAGAAGTCTGTCAGATTTTTATGACTGTTAAAAAAATATTCAAGACACTCTTCATTAGCTAGAGCAATATTTCAGAGCACTTTAATAACTGAATAATGCTGTTGTCATATAATGTAGATAATAACTGTGTTTCCAGAAGAATACTGCCACACCCAGCAGTAGTGATACAGAAGGTATTTGCAATATGCTAGTCGAACTCATTATAGTACATGCAAGCTATCAGCATGCTCTGGAATATGAAACCACTTTCTGTCTGCCTTAATTTTGGAATCAAATTATTAATGCCTCCTGTTTTGTGGTTTTGTATGGTAACCAGAACATAGCTCCCAGCTTTATTAATCTTGGTTCAAATTTAATTTTCCTCTATGCTGAATTTTAGCTTGTTAAATTGGGTAAGTTTTGAAGTCAAAGGTCAAGCGGTCTTGAAAGTTATATACACTGAAATAATTTTGTCAAAATCTTCTAGATGTTTTCTTCTTATTGTATACTTTAGTGAGTATTGCTTAGAAAGACTAAATGTTGGCACTTTTGCTTTATCCTGCAATATCTAGAAAAGATGTGATTTCAAATATTTGTTTAGATTTATAACATTCCTCTGCATAAAATATATTTGAATAAATTAATAAAAGGTGACAACTACTTTGCAGTTATCAAAGATTAAAATTCATTTCAGGATAAAATGTTATTACAACTTGTGATCCTCTTCTAGACCCTAAAACGTTCACGTTGAAAAAATGGCAGCAATGGCAGCTGATGTCCAGCAGGTATGTCTCAATTAAATAAAGAATATTATGCCATTTGTGAGGAGGAAATGTGAGTAAATCAACTTGTATTCTGTATTTTTGCAGAACGTGGTTTCCAGGGTTGCTAGTTTGCCTCTGGTGAGTTCCACCTACGATATGGTCTCTTCTGCTTATATCAGCACAAAAGATAATTATCCCTATTTGAAATCTGTCTGTGAGATGGCAGAGAAAGGAGTGAAGACTATTACAGCAGTGGCCCTGACCAGCGCCCTGCCCATCATCCAAAAGCTGGAGCCGCAAAGTAAGCCATAATGCTTCTTCTCCGCACTTTTTTGAACCCCAGGGGTTTAGTGTCCATTTCTTCTTTTTAACCCAGAAAGCACTTTCAGTGCCTTTTAATTTCCAGAGCATGATAGCCTTGCATCTCTGATATTCCTTAAAAGAACTTGAACAAAACTTCACACTGGAGTGTTGGAAGCTCGGAAATAGGTGTGAAAAGTGGATGGATGGATAGACAGACAGACAAATAGATAGGAAAAATAAAAACAACCCTCAGGAGACCAGGCAGAGAAACAGTTGAACATTTGAGGGAATGTTCAGACTAATGCCTGGAGACAATGGCATTTAGGGCCTCCTCTAGAGGAGTTCAGGCTGTGTGGGACTGCCCTGAGATAAAACATTTTGCAAGCTACTGTGGTTGCAGACTTCATGTAGCAGCAGTTCTGAAAATTGCAGAGTTAATAAGAATACTTGCAGATCCTTGTTAAAAAAAAAAAAAGCAAAATGTTCACACTTCTGACATTTTTTTCCTGATTGTCTTGCAAAAACATTTGAAGGGTAGAAGGTCAGTTGATCCTGATGTGTCATATGCTGCTTGCTATAGATTGCATCCCTTTGTTCAAATTTGGTATGCCAGTGGCCATGACATCAGGACCAAAGTGTGTGGCCTTGAACAGAACGTTTTCTCAATATGTCACTTGCTGAAATTACAGGGCCTGCTTCAAATAATAATTCTTCTGAGGGTTTTTACTAATGTCTACAGCAAACCTAAGAGCTGCCGTGGCTGAACTTTTTTAAGTTTTTAAAATTAAAGTTGAGTAGATTTACCTCCAAGATTAAACTTCTAATGACTTATGTGTAAGGAACTTGAAAGAACTTTGATTCATAAGATGATGCATAAGTTAATAGCTATTGCTCAAACTTGCTATGTCCTAACTCTTCACCCACTTCCAAGCAATGTCTTGTGTTTCCCTTTCACCTACTTTCTAAATGCCTCACCATCAGAAACTCTACAGTTTATATTTTATACTCCCTTGTCTGGGTGTCAACTTAGGGGAAAACCTATTCTTGCAAAGTGGCAGCAGGCCAGGAAATTCTTGGTCATTTTTAAGAGGGCTCTTTCAACTTGCTAATAGGACAGTTATGCTCAACTTTGTTCCTAACGAATGAATTCAGGTTTTGTTTTATGACTGCAAAAGAAGCTGAACTAGCTTTTGATACTTCCTCAACTCAGAGGAGCCCTGCCGGATGAGGCCTTAAGCCCAGCTAGTCTAGCATTATGTGTCACCTACAAGGCAACTGGATGCCTTGGGGGAAGGTCACAAGCCAGGGCTGTTTTAGTTCCCTTTCACTGTGGCCTGTGAGGAAGGAAGTAGTAAACAGCAATCTGTACTAATAGCCATTGATAGACTGATCCTCCATGAACCCGTCCAGCCTTTTTTTAAAACCATGCAACAATTCATTTATGAAGACTGGCTGCTACTACCACTAATGCTGGTAGCAAATTCAGTTGTTTAACTATGTGCCGGTGGACAGTTTGGGTAGCAGTTCAGGCACAGGGCTGCAGACCAGGATACTGGGTTCTAGTCCCGCCTTGGGCACAAAGCTAGCTGTGTGATTTTGGCCAGTCATTCTGTCTTAGCCGTAGGCTTAGCCAACCACTTCCATGGGTCCTGCCAAGAAAAACTCTATGGGTTTGTCTGGGCAGTTGCCAGGACTCAAGGCTGACTTGGAGGTACCAATTTATTATTTACAGGGTATGTGTAAAAAGGATTTCCTTACATCAGCCCTGAACTTTCCTGCATTTAGTTTCAGTAGATGACCTTGAGTTTCATCGATGTATGAAAAAGGAAGAAAAACTTCTTTCTCACACTCAGTGTTAACCTATGTCGTGTATGATTTTATATACTTCTGCCATGGCTCTCCTTACCCTTCTTTGTTGTAAGTTTTAAAAGCCACCAAATGCTTGCCTCACAGGACAGTTATTCCTTTTAGGAAGGTTATAAAGAGAGTTTCATAACAACTCCAACTTCGTGTTTATCCAGACACTCGGGACAGTTAGAAACAGATGCAGATTTATAGCATTTATTGCTCACTTTCTGACCTAAAAGCTTCATTTATTCATACACACATATACATACCTACCTACTCAGAGTCTAGGCCTGAGTTCCAAAGGAATTTAGGAGGGAAGCCCATTATTTTGGCCTGAGTTCTATTATGCTCATTATTCTGTTCTTCGTAATACAGTGTTTCTCAACCGTAGCAACTTAAGACGAGTGGACTTCAACTCCCAGAATTCCCCAGCCAGCCATGTTAACAGTTTCACTAAATTTTTATAATTTCTGAAAAAGCTCAGCCAGTCCCAGCTTGGCACTTTTCTCACATCCTCTGATATTTTTCCACTTGAAAGTCATTACCTCACCCAGTTTACCTAGGAACCATCTCTTGTTTTGAAAACATCCCTTACTGAGCTTTTTTAGAAATCTCCATTCTGGTGTTTTTCCACATGCTGTGGGTCACATGCAGCTCTTCTATCATACATGTCCATTTATACCTTCACACAAATATATTGAGCAGTGATGTGTGTGTATATGTACACACATGCATGTGCCAAACATTTACAAATGAAAATCTATTTATTTTACTATATAGTAAACTATTAATAACATAATGATACTCCAAGCCCATAATTTTAATTGCCCTTTTGGCACCTTTTCAAATATTATCAATACCAATATTATCCTCCTTAAAGTGCAGGAACCATAACTATACTGCATAAAATTGTTTGAAGACATTGTTATATCAGCAAAATCCTAACTGTCCTTAACTGTTGCAGTTGCAGTTGCCAATAGCTATGCTTGTATAGGATTGGACAAAGTTGAAGAAAAACTGCCTATACTGTATCAACCAACTGGTAAGGTAGGTTGCTTTGGCATATTTTTATTTGTCTTTAACCCCATTGTCTCATAATGGAGAAGTGTGCGTATTTTCTGGATTAGTACTTGACATTCAATAAGGGGCAAGGTGGAGTCAACCCTAAATCAATTTCAGGAAGGAGTGCAATAAGCCCGAAGGGCTGACTGTGATGTTAATTGCTAAAAAAATAGGTTCATTCATGAATCTGGCATTACTGCTTTGTCACACGTTAGTTCAAAATTCTCACATAAAACGTCATACCACCTTTCTAGGAAAGGAAGTTCCATCTGTCTATAAAGGCTTTTAGCATCTGTGAAATGTTCCATATTATCTCCTGTGAGCAAGGAAGACACCAAATATTTATACCTCTTTTTGGAGTTGTCACTGAACGTTAATGTCACTGAACGTTAAGACAAGTACAGCAATGTTTGCGTGTCCTTTTAGCTCTTGGAGAAACATCTTTAACTTCTTTTAGGTGGTTGCTAATGCTGTGGATGCAGTTGTTGGTGCAAGGGATGTTGTAACAACCACTGTGACTGGTGCCAAGGATACAGTTACGCACACCATTAGTGAAGTTGTTGACAAGACAAAAGGAGTTGTTCTGGACAGCGTGGAGCTAACGAAATATGCAGTCCATGGCAGCATTAACACAGTTCTGCATAGTCGGATGGTGTGCCTGGTGACCACTGGGGTTGATACTGCACTCAGCAAGTCTGAAACTCTGGTTGATCAGTACTTTCCACATACTGAAGAAGAGATGGGTAAGGATCTGCTGGACGATTCGATGTAGGCATGTAAGATTGATCCTGTTGTGAAAGCTTACTGTTTTGATTACTGACTTACGTTGCAGTGAGGAAAATACAGTTTTGGCTCTATACCAATGCTTCTCAACCTTAGTAACTTTAAGATATGTGGACTTCAACTACCAGAATTCCCCAGCCAGCCATTCTGGGAATTGAAGTCCACATATCTTAAAGTTGCCAAGGTTGAGAAACACTGCTGTATACAAATATTGGTTGAGAGATTAGTTCTGGCTGTACACTTCCTAACACAGAGCCCAGCATGTATGTAGTCCCTCACCTGTCAAGGTTTTTACAAAGAATTTTCTTTAGGTTTACCTTGGGTATGTTTTTGCAAAGTGTGCCTGTGACCATTAACATAGGATCCCTTTCCCCTTATTGTCTGGGGACAATAATTTTTCCTGATTTGAGCCAGCAGATTTAGAATTAAGAAGTAATACGGACGTTGGGTATGTACATGATATGGTCCTAATGCCGGACTTACAGGTTTGTATTTTGACTCTGCAGAGAAAGAAGCTACCAACATGGAAGGATTTGAAATTGGAGATGAGAAGCCAAGTTACTATGTTAGACTAGGATCGTTGTCTTCAAAAGTCCGATCACGTGCCTATCAACAGGCCCTAAATGCATTTAGGGATGCTAAGCTCAGAAGCCAAGAGACAATTTCTCAGCTCAATTATACTGTTAACCTGGTAAGTATGATATTTTTCTTAAGTAGGTTGTGTCAGTATTCTGGTCTCCTGAAGCACGTCTATTTTCTTTCTCTTCCAAGCAAAAGAATGTGCATGGACTTTGAGAGTTAATGATACTTGCAAGATTGAACTCCCATCAAGCCTTAAAGATTAAGGTGTTTAACTATCACCCATGTCTAGGGAATAAAATAAAATGACCTGTCAGCAACATGTTTTTAATACAATGGAGATAAAGTTGCTTTTTTAAAAACCTTGAGACATCTTCAAGAACCAGTTCTGTCCTTTCCTACAAAAGACTATAGAAAAAAAATATCCCAGATGAAGCCTAGTTTATACGGATAGCAAGATTATGCAACATATTCACTCGCTCCTTTGTTTCTCCTTGAATGTTCCGTTTGAACAGGGCCGTTCTGACTTCACTGCTGAATTGCTTTTGTTCCCAGGATTAAATATGAGAATGCATGAAACAGGACCCTTGAACTTGAATAAAACGCCTACCTCACCCATAGGATGCATTCTCATATCACACTAAGCCATGGTTTACTTTAGCCATGGGTTGTTGAGCAAGCTATAGTGGCCTAGTTTCACACAACACTAAGACATAAATCGGGTTTTATAAACCACAGTACAAAATGTGCTAAGCCAAACAGATCACATGATCTCTTCATGCAGAGTGGGAATCCAACTTGTGGGTCACGCTACAACCAGCTCACAAAGTACCATCTGGTACTTAATTAGTTAAGTTAATAAGTGTCCAAAACCTCTACAAAACCTTTTTTTCCTCTACAGCAGCAGAATTGGGCATCTGCCTGTTGTAGGCCTTCCAGAAGCAAAGGGGGACAAACAATGAATTGTGCGTTGTGACACAAGCTCCGCCCCTTCCAGTCTTGTCTGTGATGTTGAATTGAAAGTACAAAATGGTGGCACTTGCATTATCACGATGCACATTTCAACATTTTTGTGTCCTTTTGGTTTGTACCAGATGCCTATGGTCCCTCCCACTTAACCCAGAGGTAAGGCTAGAAAGTGGGAGAAGATAGTTATTTTTCCCATTTCCAGCTCTGCGTTCTTTTGGAGAGCTTTTTGAACATTAATGTCCAAGGCCAATAGACTGCAAATTTAGTTTTTCTTATTTTACTTTCTTCCTATTTTTCTTACACTTTTCTTGGCTTTCACCTTCCTTTTTGGGCATTGTCAAATCAATGGCAACCAAACTAATGGACATCAATGTCTGGGGATTTCTCAAAGCTTTTTTTTTTTTTTTTTT